TTAGGTTTTTATAGCCGGGAATATTTTAAAAAATTATATGATACAATGATATATTAAAATGTATATAAACAGAAGATAAATTTATCATGATTATGACAATTTTAAAGTATAATTTGTAAATTGTTTCCCTGCTCTTATACTTGCTGCTGAATTGACACTAAGAGGGGAGCAAATTGTGAAGACTATTTATAATTATGTAATATATAAATTTAACGAGTAGTTTTAGCTGGGCAACTAGTATATGGTGATATATTTTTTTCGGTAATATAAATCTAAATAATGATATTTATAAGATGTATATAAATTTATTTATTAAATATCATGATAAAATTATAACAGAACATACTTAAAATAATAATAAAAAGTACGTAAAATCTGACTGCTCTCTCTTTCATTTGCTTTTTACATTTGTTTGGAATGAAGTGCTCTTCTTTTTTTCTTTAATTTTAAAGGTGATTTATTTTATTCGTGGGAACATAAGTTTCCGTATAGTGTACTTAAGCTCTAAGAAATTGTATAAAAAGAAAATTAATGTATCCCACTTAATTTAGTTGTTTCATTAGAAAGGCCGGATGAAAGAAGATAGAATTTTTTAATGACTCGGTCCACGCCTGAAGAACAATGATTGAACATGCTTGACTTGGTGTTGCTCAATTGTTCAATTTGATTATGGGAGATTCTCCCATGTGGGCTTAAAAGAACATTATTATCTTTCTTTCTTTTTCAGAAATTTACTATTATTATGTCTGGTAATAAAGATGCATTTGGGATCCAAGGCCTAAAAGATGAGTTGTTATGTAAGACGTTTAAATCGAATCTGTTTCTTTTCATATGTTGCCCAAATCTTTAATTTCTCTTTTTCATCTCTGATACCCCTTCTGCAGCTGTTATAACAGCAGTTGTGTCTGCCTGGTCATTTCTTTTGACAACCATGCATGGTTGGAGGGCTTAGTTCCAAACTTTGGCAAGAGTGAGTGAACCTGATTCAGCTAAGATCATACTCTATTCTCCTTTTTTTTTCTCACTTTCTGATAGATTATGTATCTCAGCTAACCAACTATTGTGATTTATTCTCCAAGCTAGTGATGGCTCAGTTCCACAAGGAAATAAGCCAAGGGAAGAAATTTGAATCAAGTCAGAGACCTCTCTGCGGAAGCTGGTGGTAAAGGTTATTGTTTAAACATGTATTGGAGCTCCTTGAGGTATCCTTAGAACTTGTCATGTTAACTGGTATTTATGTTAATGTTGTAAGGATGGTTATCGTCCCCAGACATCAATGAAGATTGGGGGGGATTCACTGCACAGTGCACACATCATCATGGTCTCAGTTGATACAGGTTTCTCTTTCGCTTCTACTGATGTTACTTGCATATTCTTATAACATTTCTCAAATTTTTTGAGGCGCTTCCTTGCTGGAGGTTTCACTAAATACATGATGCATGTTGGTGTTCTTTCAAGGGAGTAGACACTTGTTTTGACATGGGTAGTTTTGAGAAAGAGAATTATTCTTTATTTTAAATTTTGAAGTGGTAACAGACATTAATATCTTTGTAGTCTACGATTTGGACTTTTATTGTTTCAATGAAAACTTAATTTCCGGTTAACTCAACATACCTTTTTTGTTGTTGAGAAAACAGTCGGTGGTTTTAAGTTGGTTTAGATGTCCTGAATTACCGGATGGTATGAACTAATACTGATTTCCTGTGGTACAGAGAATGTACAAGTCACCAAATTCAGCCCTCAACAAAGCAAGAACGCAACTATTATTACAGAGAATCTTTTTTTATATTCATTGTACGTCGATATACTGAAATCCTAATCTCTGTAACTGATAAATTAGGAATCATTTTGCTTTGATTATATCCAGGAAAGAGCTTCATCCGCAACAGATAAAAATGTCATTCTTCTTCTACTCTTTACGTGATTATTTTAAAAGCCATATTAATGTCTTGATTCCACATGTTTATCCTTGGTGTCTTAAAACTTTGCTTGTGATGTGAATCTTGTCACAATCGGGATTCTCAAGCGGTTAAAGTTTATAATTAGACCACTATTCATTGCAATCAAATTTTCTTCAGAGGAAATACTATATGATTAATCCTAAACCAATCTCTTAGGTCTTGTAGATAGAGAAAGGTTTCATTCTTATTCTTTAGTGGCGGTGATTATGTTAAAACTTTTTTCAGTGATCAAAATAAAGATTTATTAAAGTTTAGTAACTATCATGTGGTTTATAGAAATTATAAGGAAACTCTACCAAATTTTCTAAATTTTTTCAGTGATTGTTTGAAATAAATTAGTGAAGTTATGAGACGAAAAATACTTGTGGGTCTAAATGTTATGGAATATTGTAGTTACCAAGTGCAGTGAGGTTGTTGTGTAGCAGAAGTCTCCCTATGAAGTTCTGTATGGTGTAAAGCCTGACTATTCTTTTGTTCGGGTGTTTGGTTGTGCATGTGACCCGTATCTTAGACCGTTCAACCAAAATAAGTTGGATTTTCGTACACACCAGTGTGTTTTCCTGGGTTATAGTGACTCTCATAAAGGCTATAAGTGTCTTGATGAAAGTGGTCGGAATTTTATCTCCAGACATGTTTTTTATGAGGGTTTGTTTCCAAGTGCAGGTAATTTCCGTGCTGTTAAAGAGGTGGCTGATAGGAATGAAGTTGTTGTTCTGTTGGGTATTGTGACGACTGAAGGGTCCAGTTCTGCCCAGACACCAGAGGTTTTCCCAATTGCCACTTTTCCAGTGGATTTACCTGATGTTGCTTATGATCTTCCTGTGGAGACGATGCAACATTGTGTTGATAGCTTAGCTGGTGCTGAGGTCTTACCTCAGTCAGTTGATGAGCCTACAGTTGATGCCTTTGTTGTGCCTGTTGAGGCTGCTAGTAATGATTGTCCTGTGCCTGATAGTCCTCCGAATATTGCTGCTCCTAGTGGTTTTAGTGGCCCTTCAAGTTCTCTGTTTTTAGAGGATGTTGTTTCTGATAATGTTGCTTTTGGGTTGGAACTTGTTAATGTTGTTGTTGATGTTGTAAGAGACTCTGTTGTTGGGGTATCTAAAGTTGGTAATCGTCACCCTATGGTTACAAGGAGTAAGAGTGGGATTCGGAAGCCAAAGGTGTTTTTTGTGTCCAAGCTGTTGGGTTCGTATGATAAGCCGACTAACGTTACGGAAGCTTTCCAATATCCTCACTGGAAGCAGACAACTCAAGTAGAGTATGATGCTTTGTTACGTAATAATACTTGGACACTTACTGTTTTACCTGCTCATCGTAGGGTTGTTGGCTGTAAGTGGATTTTAAAGACAAAGCGTAATGCTGATGGAACTATAGCTCAGCATAAGGCTCGATTAGTGGCAAAACGATATCTTCAGCAAGCTGGTTTGAGAAGCTTAGGAACTACTTTGTTGGTTTTGTTTTGTCAAAATCAGATGCCTCGTTATTTGTTTGGTGTTGTAGTTCTCAACTTGTTTATCTTCTCGTTTATGTTGATGACATCATACTAACTGACAATGATGATGCAGAGATACGCAGGGTGGTTGATGACTTAGATAAGCATTTCTCTCTTAAAGAACTTGGTCCATTGCATTACTTTTTAGGTATTCAAGTAGAATACTTAACTGATGGCCTGGTCCTTCATCAACGCGAGTATATTTTATTTTGGACTTACTTCTGCGGAGTGGTATGGATACTGCTAAGGGACTTTCCACACCTATGATTACTAATTGTAAATTGTCTAAGTCTAGTGGGTCACCTATTTTGAATCTCACAGATTTTCAAAGTATTATTGGGGTTTGCAATATGTGACTATCACACGACCAGATATTGCTTTTGCCGTTAATCGTGTGTGTCAGTTTATGCAGACTCCATTGGATGAGCAATTTTCCGCGGTTAACGTATTTTGAGGTACTTGCAAGGATCTCTTGACTATGGTTTAAAAGTTCTCTCATTCGTCTCGTCTGAATGTCTCAGGGTTTGCTGATGCTGACTGGGGTCCTAACATTGATGATCGCCTGTCCACGTCTGGCTACTGCATTTTTCTTGGGAGGAATCTGGTTTCTTGGACGTCCCGAAAACAATAAGTTGTGTCTCGTTCAACGGCTAAAGCCGAATACCGCAATGTTACATGTGCTACTACTGCAATCATTTGGCTAGAAGCTCTTCTTCCAGATTTGCATGTTTTAACCAACTCCAAACCCGTCTTGTGGTGTGATAATTTCGGGGCTATTGCTGTTTTAGCTAATCATGTTCTACATTCAAAGTTTAAACATGTTGAGATGAACTTATTCTGTGTTCGTGAACGTGTTGCTTCGAGTTAGCTTTCTGTTAATGAGGTTTCTGCTTGTGAATAGGTTGCTGATATTTTAACCAAGCCTTTGTCTTTTTTTTTATTCGTTTTAGTCGCAAGCTTAGTGTTTTGCAGATTGTTTCGGTTGGTAAGAATGAGGCATGAGTATTTCTTTGTTTGTGTGTTGTTTTCCTTTCTTGCTTGTTTTGAAGTTTCAGATAACAGGGTGAATGTTATGAAATATTGTAGTTACCAAGTCCAGTGAGGTTGTTTTTCTGCACTGGTACAGGATCCAAGGAATTAGTGGTTTGTTGAGGTGGTTAGGGTTTGTTGGAAACCTTTTTAGCACTCCATCTCTTCCCTCTCCCTTGTATAAAGTGTTTGGTCCTCTCTTGAGGATATTACAGATTAATCAATGAAATAGCAGAGAATATTGTCTCTCTTTCACCCATATTTCATCATTAACAATTCTGCAATAATAGTAGCACTTTTTATTTAGATTTCGAAAAACAAGGACATTCACAGATTTCACAATAATACAAGTTAGAAAATATGTACAAGTGTTTAATATAATGACAAGACACACAGATAGGCTTAAAATTATACTCAGGAGAGGATATTGTTGGGAAGAGCAGCTACTAGCATTGAACCGTACAACCGATAAGAATCGCATCAAGAAATATAAAAATGTGTTGTCAAATATTAACTTAGAACAACTCTGTAGGGTGGCTTCTTCGAGGATCATAAAAGAGTGCAGATTTTCTTGTTGAGACCGATATCGACGCCATGGGAGCATACATCCACAGTTCATCAGAGCTTAAAAGCTGCAACCATGGTAAAAAACAAAAGAACATTACTACAATATTATATTAATTTTGCTTCAACTCGTTTCTGTGCCTAGATTAAAGCAAACCTAATAGTTTGTTTTAAAGGTTTTATTTCATCTAACCATCGTCTATTTTACCAAATTACCTTGATTTGTAGCTGCATGAACTTCACATAATGAACAGCTTCTTCAAGCATAGTGCTGATGTCAACCTGTATTATCATCATCAATGATTATGAGTTTTCTGGATCTTCGTTATGAAGTAGCTAAGTAAATCTCATTTATAAAATATATAAGAAACTATAATGTTGCTTAATTACCTGTGTGCCGTTTGGGACAAGGTTCTGTAAAACTCTCAATCTCTCATTGACCCTCTCTCTTCTTTTCTGCAATAATCAAGCAAAAAAGATTTAGATATTTGGCCTAATGCCAATGGAATCATGATAGAGCTAGGAAATTTCTTACCCTCTGCTGGCTCTTTTCTTTCCATTCAAGTTAAGTGCCTGAGCTGCTTTGGAATCTGAGGTTGTCAATAAGCCCCCATTAGTATTATCCTGAGAAACATTGTCATCATCTGAAGTAGAGGTGCTAGAACTCTGTCCGTCCGAACCGATGTTGCTCTCTTCATTGCCGTTTAAATTGTTCTTCCGGTTCTTATTCGACTGCACATTCTTCCAAACTTCTGCTGCCTGCATTTCAAAACCATGAATTAATACCTCCATAATGAGGATTATACATGTGTACGTATGTAATAGCTTAAAATTCATTTTTCCTCTTACATCTTTTGCAACCCGAGTTCTTTTCTTTGTGGTCTGAGATGAATTGGTAATGATTTTAACCCCATCGCCATGCAGTTCCAGCACATCAAGCTTCCTCTTGAGCACCAATTCGTTAACATTGTCAGAAGGATGCCTACCATCTAACTCTGGAAAGCAGTCGGCGCTCAAGTCTTTAATGACACTAACAGTGTCTTCCATAGCAATGTTCGGGAATGCCGGGGCAAACGAGTCGGTAATTTTGTCATTCACCCCGTCAATTTCCATTGAAATATCCAAGGACACAGTGATATCATTTGTTACAGCACATCAAGCTTTCAGTTGACACGTCCTATCTTCTTTAATTAAGACTTGATTACCTCAATAAGTAATGCAATAATAAGCAAGGAAACCACTTCGCTTGACAAATTTGGAAGATATAGTGAACTTAATTAATTTAATCAAGTCTTAATTAGTTTTATTCATGTAGATTAAAGTAATTTACTTACATTAATACTAAATATAAATGAGAATCGGGGAGTGTGAAAAGTAATATTATCTCATAAAAAATGTCAATGGTTGGTAAAGCTTACCTTTCTTCATTACCATTATATGCATGAGCTAGTGTCGGTCCACGCTTACAAAAAGTTCACTTTGTTTTTGCACTTTAGTCTACAAAGGTTTCTTTTATATAATAAAGTCCGCAAAGTTCAATTAATAAACACTTAGTCGGTTATAAATTGTATTTTATTATTAATAATTATTCAAAAAATAAAATTTTAAATGCATCATATCGAAAAAAAATATAGTTAATTAAAGCACTGGTTATATATATATATATATATATATATATATATATATATATATAATTTCTTTGCAATTGTCAAAATTGCCCAAATTCCTTTTCTGTACAAAAACGAAATAATAAATGTTAATTGAATAATAATTTACATTTAATACGTACGCATTTTCATACTATTATGATAATGCATTGATATACTACACTACAACTTCGTCAAGGCGCATGGATTGAAAATAATAACAAAAAATAGTCAAGGAATATATATTATAAATATGAACATATATTTTTCCAATGGTACCGAAATATTATTATATGCATAATTATCATTTTATGTCTCTTAGGTATAATTATATAGGAAAGAAAATAAGAGAAATGATTATTTTTATCTTATATATAAAAGCAAGGGTAAAGTATAGAAATGGTCCCTCAACTATAGGATGTTGTTTTATTAAGTTCTTTGATTATTAAAAGTTACAAAATGGTCTTCCGACTATAGGATATTACTTCGTTGAGTTCTTTGATTATTAAAAGTTACAAAATGGTCATTTGATTGTTCATTATGTTTCAAACTTGTCCTTTTCTGTTAAAATATTGATCGTCATCTGAGTTGGACATTAAGATGTTGATTGAGATATGATAGTCGTTTGAGATTCTAAAATCAGATTTTATCATATCACAGTCAGCAGGCTAACGTACAACTCAGAATGTTGTCAGTTCTTTAACGAAAAAATATGAGTTTGAGACATAGTGAGTATCTGAGTGACCATTTAACTTTTAATAGTCAATGGACTCAACAAAGTAACATCATATAGTCGAGGGATCATTTTGTAACTTTTAATAGTCAGGTGACTCAATAAAGTAGTGTCCTATAATCAGATGACCATTTGTATTTTACCCTAAAAATAAATCATTCTAATTTGAAAGGAAAAAAATGAGAATTATAAAAGGAATGAGTTAGTTTAAAATATATATTTTCAAAGTATAATTTTATTTAATTTTTAAGAAGAAAATATATGTAAAACCTTATTTCGTCTTAAAGAATATGAATGAATTATTTTAGCCTCAAATAAAATTTTCTTAAAGAGGGTGTAGAATGAGTGTTTAATGTGGCCTCACTGCTGTCTTAAAATTTTAGCTATCGAGATTTAAGCTTAAGATTTTCTAGTAAAAGAACATTCAACTGTGTTCCTCACTGCTGTCTTAAAGAGGGTTTAGAATGAGTGTTTAATGTGGCCTCGTTACCTTTATCTATCATGTTAGTTAAAAGGCCATCTCTTCCCCTGCCTGCCATGCTACTATGCAAATTTTCTGTCTTTTTAAGAAAATGTTTCTGTTTTCACTTCAGAATTTGTTCTCTTGAAGGCTCTTTGGTTTTTTTGTGTTCACTCGCCCTAGAAAAAAGGCAATAGTACCAATGAGATCAATAATGAAGAACTGAATTCAGCTTGGAAACATGACAATGGCATTAACAGCATTATGTTTTGCAGTGTAAACCAACGTGTCATCTCAACGAATGCCACTGGCTCCACTCATACAACGATACAAGGCAAATCAACCATTGTTACAAGAAGTAAAATAAAACTGTCCTCCAAACTAGCTTTTTAGAGAAACCGGGAACAATAACTCCCAAATCGAAGTTATCATACTTTTGAGTTCAATCTAATGTGACCTTAATTTACCAAATGTAGCCCTTTTATTCAACAAAGTAGTTTTCTTAGGCTTTTGGCTAAAGTTCTAGCTCTGTTGCAACACTCAACAAAGGCCAACAAACAAACTCTTCTTCCACCACAAAATTTGTGAGATCAATCGGAGCTTACAAGAACAAACAGTGGTTTGTCTCCTAACCGTTCCCGGCCCTGAAATATAAATCGAGAAAACATTAACATGAAAGTGAATGCAAAGGGCATAGATGACAGGAGAAATATACAGAATACTTTATGCTTGAATCATAGCAGATGAGATGTCTGAAATCAACAGAAAGCACAAGTTAGTAAGTTCAAAGCTCTAACAGTTGATACATTGGGGGAAAAAACATTTAGCAAAGACCGAAATGAAGCTATATTTCAGAGCACCAATAGCTGTAGTAATTGGCTTTTCATCAAGACATGACAAAATTCCCATGCAGACTTACATCCATGCAAGCATGCCTCAATGCTGTAGTAGAATTTTCTATTACTAATAATGACTTTACATGAAACTTATTGCCGTAAACTTTGCTAGTTTTATTTTAAAAGAAATGAAATAGGGCCTATTGCATATATCTCCAATGAACATAAAGGCAAAAACAACTGAAAGAATGTGATTAGTAATGTCCCTTTTGGAACCTTGCATCATGCTCAGAAAGAACAAGTATGGTTTTAATAAAGAAGACACTGAAATTATTATATCTTTAAGAACTTATTGTGTGGCACAACATGCTCAGGCATAGGCCTGTCATATGAAACTAGCACCCATATTCATTCTTCAACCTAGTATGGCACCACAAAAGCCCATAATCAGTTCTAATCGCAATAAGCACTTAAGCAGTATCTGGCAGTCTTTTTCCTTTTTTACAGTGCATTAAGATTTTTTTTTTTAATTTTATTATTTTTCTGTTTTCCCCTTGTGAAGCTGAAATAGAATTCTAATTGTTTATATCACTCCCTTGATATGCCCAACTGCAAACTGCTCCATAGCAAAATTATGGAACAAGTCTAGAAATGCAACCTGTATTTTTAACAGTCATAGAAGTTTTAAATTATTGAGTTTGTGTAAGTAAAAGCATTGTTGTAGAGATCAATTTGGAAGGTAAAAGAATCATTAGCTTAATAGAATAGTGACTAACAGGAAGCAAGTAGGTCTGAGATTAGCAACACATACCTTCAGCTCGGGTAATTCAATAACACAAGCACACTCCACAACCTGCACTCCTACGCGCTCTGCAAAAAAGAAAAAAACAACCAATCATATGAACATCAATGCCCTGACAAGATAAACATGAGCAAGAGGATGTTCAAACGCGAGGAGAAGACAACCTTAAGGCACTTAATCATTCTACTTAAAATCATAGGTCAACTTATAGTTGACAACATAAGTGATTGTGATCAACAAAGCCACTCTCTACCATATTATGCCACTTAAAGATGAACATAAGCAAAGTCACGAAATTCAGATTTAAATTGAAGTACCAAGTAGCCTGATTGCGGCACACAAGGTTCCACCAGTAGCAATAAGATCATCTATTATCAAAGCACGTTCTCCTGCTTGGACAGCACCAACATGCATCTCCATTTTATCTGTTCCATACTCCAAAGAATACTCCTCCGATATAACCTCCCCTAATAAAGATCAAAACATTTAACAGTTAATACAAAGATCAGTCTTTTGTATTGTTTGTGAATCTCTTGGAGAAACGGGAAATAACTGGAATTGAACTGCACACAAAAATCATAAACAAAAGTTCGGCATTGTGGATCTTTAATAGCTAACCGAAGCTTAATGCTATTAACAACTTGAAGTGACAGATGCGTACAGTTCATTATGATACAATGTAAGAAGCAGAAGTCGTACCAGGCAATTTATTGGGTTTCCTCATAGGAACAAACTTCGCCCCAATAGCCAATGCAATAGGTGGGCCAAAAATGAATCCCCTTGCTTCTATACCTGCATTTTGCTATCAGTATTACATCGACTACAAAAATCCCAGACACAAATACAACATATCTCAAGAAAATGCACAAACGTCATTACAGCAAGAGAAAGACCAGACAAAATTGAATGAATGAAATTCGGTCAGTTACACAGAAGCATTATAATGTCAGTAGTTAAGATTCTTAAACTAACAGATTCATAGTAACCAAGCTCATCAATCAAGTGATTTTCATGTGTTCAGAAACAGATTTATAATATGTATTAAGAGAAGAGATTTACCTGCAACAACAGAGATATCTTTCCCCCTGTACCTCTCAACAAACAAATCGATAGTATCACGAAATGCCTTTGTATCAAGAAGCAAAGTTGTTATGTCCTGAAACATTATCCCTGACAAAAAGGAAGTGAAAGCCCTAAAGAATTAACAAAGTCCAAAAAAAAAAAGCAAACGGCAAAGGAGAGTGGAGGGGAGTTTTCTTTTTTACCAGGTTTGGGGAAGTTTGGGATGACACGAATCGCAGAAGAAATTTTGGAAATCCGAGGGTCTTGCTCATCTTGAGATGCCATTTTTGGTCGATTTGCAACTGAATCACTCGCTGCTCCAACTCAATACAGAAGGCAACGGACCAGAGAGGTAAGACAGTGTGTGTGAAAAAGAAAGACTGCCGGTTGACGCACCTTACCAACCAAATAACACCCTAAAGTTTATATAAAATAATAAATAAAAAGTAACCACTAAAAATCCATTTATGTTTATAAGACTAAGCAGCCTCTAGCTTAAATATCTTCATCCCATGCCATTTTTACATTAATAGCCTTCAACAAACACAAAATATATATTACCGGGGAGAGTATGTGAAGGGAACAAAACATTACCGGAGCCGAGTGGAGGAGGGAGGGTACACTTGTAATTTCGCATACGAAATACAGGTGGTTGGTAGGAAGAGGAAGGAGGGATCCAGCCGCCGTCTCGTTTGGGGAACACAACGTAGCCAGGCGGAGCTCTCGTTGTTGACAATTGAGAATAGATTGGGTTTGAAGAATAGAGTATTAAAGCCCTTCGCATCGTTCTGATCCACCGACGACTATATCATAAACAAAAGAGGAAAAAAAAAGTGAGTCAAGTGGAAGAGATTAGAAAATATCACCTTTGACGGTTACGCCCAAATTCACCGAATTGTAGAGGGGAATTTGGTCTACAAACCAACAATGTCCGAAAACGCTCACCAAATTGGATCTCATTACACTGGATCAAATGTTAACTCTAAATCGCTTGATTATTCACCGGGGGGAAAAACTTTATCTTTTTTTCCATAAACAATTAATTTTTGAAAAATTTCATTATCTTTTTTGTTTGTTTTCTAAAAATAGAGAAAAATAAATAAATAAATAAATAAAATAATCAAATGAAACATTAGACATATATTTACAAAAAAAAAATTGATATAATTTAAATATTTATTTTATATTAAAAATAAATGAGATTGAGATATGAAGGATGTGTGATTCTAGGTTTAGGCAAATGGTAAACCTGAGAACATGACCAAGTTACTGATATGGGTAGCAGGGTCTAGAATTAGAGCAGATAGTATGAAGGTTCAAGGTGGTAGGCAAAGCAGGACATGGTCCAAACCAAACAAGTGGCGTGAAAAAAATTAAAACTTTAACAAGGTCGCAATCTTGTTACGCAAGAGCCCATAGTTTCCAACGCAACAACACTTGGCCTATTAAAAAAGATGGTGACAGTTTATGCCTTGATCCATTGGAAGATCAGTGTTTCCACTCTCTACATCTTGAGTTGGCAGCCATCAATTTGCACATCCCTGAATTTTTCTCTCCAAATAAAAGCTAATAAATTAAGACCCACGTGTCTTTCATCTTCTCTAACTAATAAATTCGCAATGACCAGCTTTTAAATTATGTGATAAGTTCAAGGACCCTTCACTAATTGATCTGGACAATGACTCTGAAAACGAGAATCCCACGTGTGGGTGCTTTTGTACTCTGTAATAGTCGCCTCTGTTTTGCACCCAGCTACAAGAAGAGGAAAAATTATTTGATTATGTAAGCAATGACCTATGTAATATATGCCACTTGAAAGATGTCATCAGAATTCTTGTGTTTGGGCAAATGGGTTTTCTTTTGCTTTAATTGTTTTTGAACGGTTTTAATGGCAAACAGCGCCACATTTATAGGGGAATCGCAGTGGAACTTTACACCGAGGAAAACGAGACCTCAAGGACTGTCCAACCCATAAGCTTATGGAGGAGCATACACTTCATTTTTGGAATATATATCTTTCCTAATGAATCACACTCACGGCTTCTAATTGAGTGGGTCTCACATTCTGGAATTCCGTTACTTGAAAGGATTTAAGTGAATCACAAAGCCTATAGTATAAGTAGTTGCAAACCATTTTTTAACACCATAATTCACTATACATTTTAAGGTGGGGGATGAGTATTACATAATATTAAAAATATGATAAGCTTAATGTGCTTAAAACATAGTTAAATTATAGTCTCGTAATTTCAAACCAATTAAAATCTAATTAACTAGTCAAATTTTTAAAAAAGTATGCGATTTATTTTCGCAAATCCAGACAATTTAGAGAGTCGCATTCATTATTGATCAATGATCATCAAAGCTATAATGTGGAATGTCTTATATTTGTTAAGTATCGTGGAATTGATTCGGGAATCATAATGACTGGGGAATGCAATTAATTGAGTCGGCAGCCAAAGACAAGTCTTAGCAGCAAATGACACAGGGCCTGCCTGACGATTTCACCGCGTTATTTATTTATTTTGAACACTGTTTAGGGTGATCTGCTTTAGAATATTATCCTTCCAAAGTGTTGTCACAAGTCTTGGAATCATTCAATCCTGTTTGTTTGACCCACTGAGGTTAGCTACCCACCAAGAAAACTCAACTGCATTCACCCTCTTACCGATCGCCAAATAACCATTTGTCTATTTTATAACACTTTGGCATCACTTTTGTTGATTCACACCACTTGTCACGCAACTTCCCTTCCCCACTCCCCCTTAAAAAACCCCTCCTCCTCACTTATAACTGTCCTTCAACTCTCAATCTCAGTACTACTGCTTTCCTCTACGTCTCTCTTCCGACTGGAATTAGAAGAAAAAGTTGTTTGTTTTATTGTGTTCGGAAATCAGATGGCTTTAGAAGCTCTCAACTCTCCAACAACACCTGCTACGCCTCCTTTCCAATTTGAAGATAGCAACTTACACTGCCTGGAATCATACACCAAGCGTAAGCGTTCAAAGCGGCCGCGTTTCGATCATGTTACCAACGAGGAAGAATATCTTGCTCTGTGTCTGATCATGCTCGCACGCGGTGGCGAAGCCAACTCATCCAACACGTGTTCAATCCCACACTGCCATCGCTCTCCTACTCCAACCACCTCACTCCCACCAGCTTCAGCGCCTGCACCGAGCTCAACAGAGCAGAAGCTTAGCTACAAGTGCAGCGTTTGCAACAAGTCCTTTAACTCTTACCAGGCTTTGGGTGGCCACAAAGCCAGTCACCGTAAGCTTTCAGGTGGCAACGACGACCAGTCAACGTTAACAACCAGCTCTACGATTGCCGGTGGAGTTATTTTCCCGGCGTCAAACCCAAGCGGTAAGTCCCACGAGTGTTCCATCTGCCACAAAAGCTTCCCTACTGGTCAGGCCTTGGGAGGCCACAAGCGATGCCACTATGAAGGTGGGGCTGGGAACAATGCTACCGCTAGCGCCAGCGCCAGCGCCAGCGGCGTGACATCTGAAGGAGTGGGATCAACCAATAACATGAACCATATCAGTAAGAGGGTCGAGTTTGACCTCAACCTTCCGGCTTTGCCAGAATTCTCACCGGCTAATTTCTTAGTAGCCGGCGCTGATGATGAAGTGGAAAGCCCACACCCCGCTAAGAAGCCTCGTGGGATGATGCAAATGCCACCCAAAATTGAAGTCAACTAAACAATTCTAAGTTAGAAGCCTTTTCTTTAGTTGCGTAGGGATTAGTTAAATTTTAGACCGGATTGAATGTATTTCTTTTGATATTGTGAGACATTGTTTCATGACTGTACATAGCACTTGAACGATTCAATTTGTGGCAATGCTGCTGTGTTTATTATTAGTCAACTCAATTCAATTCAATACCATTTGATCCTTATCTTCAGCTCACTGTAGTATAATTTTCCTTGCTCTCATACTCTTAACATGCGCAATAAAAGACGGGAGGTAGCAGGCAGCTGGCGAATTAAGGGGGATTGAAACTTGTTGAATGAAAGGGACGTGCAGGAGCTACCCTTAAAGAGTGGTTTCAAGCAGCAGCAATTCTAGGTCCCCGTTGATGATGTTGTTGGCCTAATATTCTGAATTGTATAATTTGCTTTAATTAAAAGTGGATAGGCGAGGAGAAGGGATGTGGATAAAGATCAGATTGGAAGGGGTGCTTGCTGAGGGGCTCTCAGTTTTCTTTTGGGGGAAGAGATTGGGATGACAGGTGCATGGCTTTGCTTAAGCGACCTTCTTTCTTTTCTTCTTCTATTCTCTTCAATATTAAAAAAAAAAAACTTTTTATTACTGGTCGTAGTTATTCACTGAATAATTGATGGGATGGTGATTCGGATTCCTTGGGGAGTCTTGGATTCTTCTTTGTGAATTATGATGCCACCATTTGTGTCCTTCCAGTGCCAAGGATTTTAGTGCGCTGTCTTGTTGGCCCCGTGTTGGTATTTATTTACTCACTCGGACAACGTATACACAACTACAACACTAGATTAAACTTGTAAGCATAATTAAGGCAATGGCATCCGCATCCGGGGTTTCTCAAGCTAATGATAAGAGATAATGAATACCTGGTTACAAGCAATTTGGTAATTCCTCTTCTAATAGTCCCACTTCCAATTTTTTTCCAAGTGAATTTTCCGCCTTAAGAAATTGAAATATACAACCACGCGTATGAAGATGCCTAATTTTACCCCATTAGTATCAAATTATCTCATACATATACCACCCTAATTCATCGGACAGTCTAAACCATATATAAAATTTAAAAGCTGTGTAATATGTTAACTGATTTTATTTATATACGTGCTAAATTTTATTTACACAATATACATTTTTTAAATTATTTTAAATATTTAATCAAAGGAGATTAAAGAATTTAAAATAAAAGTATCTTTATTTTCATTCATTTATTGATCCAAAATATATATGAATCCCCTCTTTGTATATTTATAAAGTTAGGATAATGGTGGAAGTCAAGTAGAGTAGGAGACAGTGAAATGGAGTGTTTTATTTGACAAAACCCTAGAATAAAGTATAATTAAACAGAGTTGGGAAGAGATAAGGCAGCCTGCATTTGTGTGTGTCGTCACACTGATAGTAGGCCGGTCAGATAAATCATTTAACAAGTAAAATGGGGTACACAGTTGCTCAACGAGAGGTGGTTGGCAAACCGACTGTCTCTATATTCTATAAGAGAAAGAGACGTGGATTATTTTTTGAGAAAATCGCCTCAGTGACCAAAAAAAAGTTATAATATACGATTTTAACCAACTTTTTTTGGATTTGCCAAAATGACCAACAAAATCGCAACGCGAAATAAAAATCGCAACGCGATCCCCAGAATCGCAAATCAGTTTCCAAAATCGCAACGCGATTCTTGAAAATCGCAATGCGATAGTCAAATTCGCATTGCGATTTTCCAAAATCGCAACGCGAATATGAAAATCGCAACGCGAACACATAAATCGCAATGCGTATCCGTAAATCGCAACGTGTATCCGTAAATCGCAACGCGTATGGGTAAATCGCAATGCGTATCCGTATATCGCAACGCGTATCGGTAAATCGCAACGATAATACATAAAATCGCAACGCGTATCCGTAAATCGCAACGCGATATTTAAAGCGCCATTATAATCGCTACGCGTATTTTATTTTCAAATTACAAAAACGAATATTAAGACAAAATCCCGTAATCGCAACTCATAACCTAAAACCTAAAATCACAATTCAGTCCCATCTCCATCTCTCACTCTCTACGGCGAAGAAATCCGTCCCCATCTCCGAAGATTTCCGTCCCCATCTCCGGCGAAATCCCTCACAACCATTCACGGTCAGAAATCCCTCACAATATTCAGAAATGGAAAATCAACCTCCGAGGGTTAGTTTTTTTAATTATTTTTATTTTGAAATGTTTGCATTATTGTAGGTTTTTCATATTGAAACTGATGATAAGTTTACTGGTCATCTCAATAATAGATTAACCATTTCACTTAGATTTCATTTCGCGTTACGATTCTCTCGTTGCGATTTTCATTTCGCGTTGCTATTCTCGTTGCGATTTTCAAGTTAGTATTTGTCTTTGTCTTTGTTCTGTCTTTTGGTTGAAGTAATGCAATCCATTCAAGTTTCAATTTGCAGAAGAGTCGCAACGAGATAAATGAAAATCGCAACGAGAGAATGACTGTCATTGCGATTTTTATTTCGCGTTGCGATTCTCTCGTTGCGATTTTCATTTCGCGTTGCGATTCTCTCGTTGCGATTGTCATTTCGCGTTGCGACAGTCATTCTCTCGTTGCGATTTTCATTTCAACCAAAAGACAAAACAGTGTTGCAAATTTTAGTTTCAAGAATAAACTACTACTTTTTATGTTTATTGTTTTTGGTATATCTTCACAGTGTAGTTTTTGGTATATCTAACTTGGTATGTTTATTGTTTTTGTAGAAATTTTTTTCGGCTCAATTGACCTTGAGAAATAAAGTCAGCCTGGCCACTACAATTGCTTCGAAGCTTTCACCTGCTCAAAGACAATTGTTTGAGGAAACCTACTTCGGGCCATGGCTGAGAGTACAGCATCCGGGTGGAGATGCTAATTTGACCCATTTGTGGCTTCAGACCATGACATCAAATCTACCCGACAGTATACAACGTGGTGAGGAAGAGATATGGTTTCATTTTCCACCAGCGTATACTTGCTTTGGGCGGAAGGAGTTCTGCTTAATCACTGGTCTACGATTCGGACACGATGATGTAGGCCGGTACACTCGTCATATCGCCCGCCCATCATGGTTATCCCGGGTTTTTCCGGATGAGTCAATGGAGAAGCCGAACCTACATGTCGACGACCTGAAGAAATTGTTTAATAAGAAAGCTGGTTTCACTCGGATGGATGACGTCGATGTTGTCCGAGTATGCCTTCTACTACTTGTGTATGCCGGCTTTTTAGGCAGAGAGGCCAGACAACCTATTCATCGGGAGCTAATAATATTGGTAGAGGACCTGAATGCATGGAATCTGTTTCCGTGGGGTTCGTATATATGGAAAGCTACCTGGACTAAGTTGTCGTCTGCCTTTGATGACCGCAAAAGTTTGCGGGGCGATGGGTCCAAATACACTTTGTCAGGCTTTGTTTGGGCCTTTAAGGTAAGAATTTCTATATAATGTTTCTAAAATTATAATTAATTATTTAACAATTACTAATTTTGTTATTATATTGTTTGTAGATTTGGATATTCGAGGCTTTCCCCAGCATGCGTACATATGCAATAAAAACGTCAAATGATATTCCCAGGGCTATTTCCTGGAAGAGGAAAACTCTGTTGGATTGGGAAGACTTAATACCATATGCGACAATAAATAATGTAAGTTAACACAAATACTTTCATATAATATATAAACTAGTTATTAATAGTAGACGTTTAACTTTGTTTGAGTTTTTATATTTTAGGAGGCCAACATTCCATTACAAAGACTGACACCCACGGAGGAAGAGCTTGCCACTGATTGGTGGCAAGCTAGTCAGAGTTTTTTTGATGGCACGGATGATGAGCAGCATCCACTTCCTCCAATTCGAGAGCCATCACCTCACCTAGAGCCATCACCCGATAGACCCGACTATACACCTCTAGAACGAGAGCCATCACCTATCCCGTCACATCATCGAGCCTCTTCTCCACCATCACCTCATGATAGGCGACCGGCAAAGATGCCACGACTCCTATCTCCCTGTTCTCCACCTCCACCTCAACGGGATGAGTCAAGGGAGTTACGTGATGAGGTCAATGCCTTGCGTGAGGAGATCGGTACTCTACGCGATAACGATGGTGCATGGCGTGTGGAGGTGTCAACTTTACGTGGTGAGGTTGCCGCTCTACGTGAGATGATAGTATCGTTGCAGAATGAGGTTCATACTCTACGCAACGAGGTAAGTTTAAGATTTTCCATATTTAACTTAATGATAAATTTACTCGTAATTTCACTTAGATTAGCCATTTCACTTAGATTGCTTAGTAAATTTATTCGGTTGCTGCCAATTCTGCTAAACTGTGTATTCTTTAACACTGTGAAATAGTATTTGTCTTTGTTTTGTCTTTTGGTTGAAAGTAAATTTGTTCGGTTGCTGCCAATTCTGCTAAACTGTGTATTCTTTAACACTGTGAAATAGTATTTGTCTTTGTTTTGTCTTTTGGTTGAAAGTAAATTTGTTCGGTTGCTGCCAATTCTGCTAAACTGTGTATTCTTTAACACTGTGAAATAGTATTTGTCTTTGTTTTGTCTTTTGGTTGAAAGTAAATTTGTTCGGTTGCTGTCAATTCTGCTAAACTGTGTATTCTTTAACACTGTGAAATAGTATTTGTCTTTGTTTTGTCTTTTGGTTGAAAGTAAATTTGTTCGGTTGCTGCCAATTCTGCTAAACTTTGTATTCTTTAACACTGTGAAATAGTATTTGTCTTTGTTTTGTCTTTTGGTTGAAGTAATGCAATCCATTCAAGTTTCAATTTGCAGAAGAAGAAATAGTTTACTTTCGCAACACGAAACTTAAAATCGCAACGCGAAACCAAAATCGCAACGCGAAACCAAAATCGCAACGCGAAATGAAAATCGCAACGACAGAATCGCAATGCGAAATGAAAATCGCAACGAAAGAATCGCAACGCGAAACCAAAATCGCATTGCGATTTTCATTTCGCGTTGCGATTCTTTCGTTGCGATTTTCATTTCGCATTGTGATTCTGTCGTTGCGATTTTCATTTCGCGTTGCGCTTTTGGTTTCGCGTTGCGATTTTAAGTTTCGTGTTGCGAAAGTAAACTATTTCTTCTTCTGCAAATTGAAACTTGAATGGATTGCATTACTTCAACCAATAGA